AGCACTGCCCGTTTAGCCCCCCCCACCGATTCTACAGCACCGCCCGTTTAGCTCCGCCCACCGATTCTACAGCACCACCTGTTTAGTCCTGCCCACCGATTCTTACGGACCTGTTGCTGTGACATCAAGTCCCGGATGAGCTTTGAAGAACTAAATAATCCAAGATCATGCCAAATCGTCAACAATCAAATCCAGTTTACCGAGTTAGCGACGTATGAAGAACGGGCCCCAGGTCTATGTAGAAACCAAACGATAAAGACGCTCAGAAGACAACAAGACACTGTTCAGTGCCAAGCTGTTTGGGATTTTTAGTGACCACAGAGAGTCAGGACCTCGGTTTAATGTCTCATCCGAAGGATGGTTCTTTTTACAGCAATGTGTCCCCATCACTACACCGGGGCGTTAGGACCCACACAGACCACAGGGTGAGTACCCCCTGCTGGCCTCATTAACACCTCTTCCAGCAGCAACCTAGTTTTCCCAGGAGGTCTCCCATCCAGGTACTGACCAGCTCAACCTTGCTTAGCTTCAGTGGGCAACCAGTCCTGGGCTGCAGGGTGATAATGTGGCACCACACAAGTGTAAGGAACTGTTTTTATTATGTGCTCACTATTGCTTTATCTGTTAAACAGGTCGTTTGATATGTTCTGGGTATGTATGTGTCCATCTGTGAAGGATGTAGGCTGTCAAACACACACAGCTATTAGCCAATCACAGCAGTGTGCGTTTAGACTCATAGTGAGTCGACAATCCTCCACACCTATTCAAACAGAGCGTTCTGATGAGGGGGTCAAAACAGGACAGAAAATAGCCTATTACTTCTAAATTATGATGTTTTTGGTGTAAAAATCTTGATAACATTATAAGTGGACCTCAGAGAACAGTGCAAAATAAAAAAACAACGGCAGTTAATGACCCCTTTAAAGGACACAAAAATCATTCCATGCATATTCTTAGAAGTAATATCCTGGGAAAGAAAAACTTTGACAAACCTCCTCCATCACTTGCTGTTTTTGTGCTCTCTTTGAGATCAGAATCCTCCTCTTCGTCTTCTTCTCTGTCTGAAGCTCCAGATCTGCTCAGATCTTCATCCACTGATGCTTCATCACCTCCATCCTCATACTTGTTACAGATGAGATATTCTGCATGCTCGTTCTTGAGTATCTCTTCTGTTCTTCTGAACAACTCAGAGCGCCATCCTGGGTTTATTGTATCAAACTGTAGATGTGCTCCACCACACTCCTTTATTAAATCATGAATAGCATTATTTGTGATCAAATAAGCCAGCTGTATCAATCCGCGTGGCTCCTCATCAGTAGTCAGCACTATAGTGTGTTTAATGGCCTGCTCACTGAAGAGGTTCAGCTCAGTTTGCACTCTCTGAATGTCGTTCTCATCAAAGTCCTTATACTGCAGTACGAGTATGAACACATGAGGTCCTGGATCAGACAGAGACACACACTCTCTCACTCCTTGTATTGACTGTTGATGTGAGAGATTCGGCTGGAGCAGGAGAGTGTTGATGACTGTGATGTGTCTCTCCTCCACCTCTCCACTGATTGTCTCACTGTGCTGCTGTGAATAAGATGCAGCTTCACTGTGAAACGCTTCTGTACCCAGTATAGTGTTTCCCACTCGGCTGTTTTCTGATCCATTCTTTCCTATCAGCACAATCCTCAGATCACTCACTGAAAAATAGCACAAACACACACATGTTGGGTTTATACTGTATAAACTGTATATACCTCTAAACACAACCCTCACAAAATAATTTCTCCAATGTACAAATTAGGGCTGCACAATTAATCTAAATTAAATCGCAAAGGAGATAAATCACAATTAGGCAGAAGCTGCGATTGTCACGCGTATCTTTCAGTGAAGCACGGTTCTGTGATCAGTAGTAAATCTCCATCTGAAGGCCAGAGAAACTTTAATGGCCTGCTCACTGAAGAGGTTCAGCTCAGTTTGCACTCTCTGAATGTCGTTCTCATCAAAGTCCTTATACTGCAGTACGAGTATGAACACATGAGGTCCTGGATCAGACAGAGACACACACTCTCTCACTCCTTGTATTGACTGTTGATGTGAGAGATTCGGCTGGAGCAGGAGAGTGTTGATGACTGTGATGTGTCTCTCCTCCACCTCTCCACTGATTGTCTCACTGTGCTGCTGTGAATAAGATGCAGCTTCACTGTGAAACGCTTCTGTACCCAGTATAGTGTTTCCCACTCGGCTGTTTTCTGATCCATTCTTTCCTATCAGCACAATCCTCAGATCACTCACTGAAAAATAGCACAAACACACACATGTTGGGTTTATACTGTATAAACTGTATATACCTCTAAACACAACCCTCACAAAATAATTTCTCCAATGTACAAATTAGGGCTGCACAATTAATCTAAATTAAATCGCAAAGGAGATAAATCACAATTAGGCAGAAGCTGCGATTGTCACGCGTATCTTTCAGTGAAGCACGGTTCTGTGATCAGCAGTAAATCTCCATCCGAAGGCCAGAGGGCACTGAAACTCCAAATACGCCTCTCAGAAGAAACCCAGAAAATTCATATAGCAGTTGCTGAATAAACAGAAGATTTAACTGCTTTCATTAATTCAACGCGAGTAATAAACACACGACTACGACAATATATGGTTTATTATATAAAGTATATAATAAAGCAATGCTAATCGACATAGTCTTTATCACTGCTTAGAATACTATGAAATATGTTGCATGCCTTCCCTTACGAAAAATAAGTTTATTCAAGTGTGCTATTAGTTTACTTCTTTTAAACGAAGAAATAGGGAAGTATACTTTTAGTCTACTTTTTATGTACTTATCAGAAATATGCTTAACATTACATTTAAGTATATCAGTCATTCTTGAGAAGTGGGACAAAACAGGGTGCAAAATTGAAAAAATAAAACCTTGTACTCAGACAAATGAAACTACATTTATGTATCTTATATGTACTAAGCTACTGAGCTATGCTTTGATACAACCTCCCAACTTTTCTCTTTTTTAACAAAATGTGCTTTTTTTTTTACCTTGGAGTGTGTCTAAGCTACTGAGCTATGCTTTGATACAACCTCCCAACTTTTCTCTTTTTTAACAAAATGTGCTTTTTTACCTTGGAGTGTGTAACATAATATCAACTTTATCTTTAACAGCATTCAAGATGTTTTTAACATTTCAAAACACATTCTGGTGTTAGCAGATGGATTACACTTTCACATGTGACCAACAATTCCACAACAAATACAAAATATCATAATGAAATATCAAATTATTCAACTGACGGAGTTGACGAAAACCATCAAATACATTGAATCAGTCAATTACTGTATTAAAACAAACACAACAAACAGTGAGTATGTTATTGTTTATAAAGCTTTTATTCAAGAGTCACACTGAAGTATTTTGATATATCACTGGAACACAAAATCTGACGGTGCTAATGGAACCTGCTTCAGGAGAATAAAATTATCTAAATATTTCAAATAATTTCCTCAGAAATTGGAAGATGGTGTTGACATATCATGGCTGTGACACGGGAAATATTAACATTAGGGTTTAAAATATTCTAAAACTATAAAACTTAGCAGAGCCCGTCTGACACTGATGTACTCTTTTATTTATTTTTTATTTTTTTATTGCAGTAAACAACAAGGATTACAGTACGTACAAAACAAACGGTAAAAAACAGTACGTACAAAACATACAAAATACCAATCAATAATAAACTACTTGAGGATTAATAGATAAAACATCACAGAAAAAAACATATCATATAAAAATTCTTAAGAAAAGGACAGAAGGAAATAAAAAAGGCACACAAATCGAAATACAAGTATATTAGGGAAAATCTTAAACATGGCACAAATTCTAGATGTTTTTACAGCTTTTTAAAGTGGGGTTTACATTTAGTATATTTACATTTATGGACCTAAAACTTTCCAATAAATAACAGGAGGTTTATACAAAAACGTGCGTTAAACGTTGCCAACTCACTTTCATTTCAATAGGTTTCATTTCTCTATAATGGTGCATTATGCACCTGAGGTTAGCTGAGGGAGGGGCTCAAAGCAGCTGAATGGTAATGAGGAATAAGAGACCATCACAGCATTCAACTGCAGAGCCGAGGTTTGCTCCAGGCATCTCTGCAAGAGCTTTAACTGAAATAAACGCGGTGAAAAGATGCTGGGGCTCCGCGGTTATTAATAAGTGTCGGTAGTCACAGTTATGATTTAGACACCACAGTCAAAATAACATAATTCTGACATAATACACACACAAAATAACATTAAATATAATAAAATACACAAACACACATCTGATATAACATTTATATTTATATTAAATATCACAACATGCATTTATCATTCAGTCAAGTATAGCCTCACAATTTATATGAAATTAATAATGCATTTTTTATTATGCAAATACGCACCTATTAATTAAATTAACAAATGCATGCTATAATAACCTGGCATAGATAGATTGAATGTGTATTGAGAAGTTTAAAGATGCATGTGAGATGCAGTTTTTACTTATTTCATGAATATTAGAGGAAATGTTGCTATATATATTTGTATCCAGTTTGATTCTTACCTGAACTTGACGCCATTTCAACGCCAACACTTTGAAATGAATGAAGAAAAACGCTGAAAGACAAGAACGTCCGCGGAGGCTGAAGAAATAAAGAGTTGAGAATGAAACCTTTTGCGTCTATTCACTTTTTCTTTTTTGAGACCAGAAATGAAATATGGAAGAAGCGGTGAATTGTTCTGATGAGTCGAATGAGCAGATGCACACATGCATGCAGCAGCAGCTCCTCCTGAACATGAATTTAGGCAGGGCAGATTCTGAGTCGAGGGCTTTTATAGTTGGCTTTCAGTTTCGTTTCCTGATTCTATCCCGGGGGGGGGACTTCAATAGCCATAATTTTGGGATATTGATGAAGTTGTTCATTTAGTTCAGATCAGCCAGAAAAAAATATAAAACATTTTTTTCTTCAGTTATTAACAAAAAAGAAAAAGAGAAATCTATCTAGGAATTCTCAACAGAAATCTGGACACAATTTACATGCAAAGATGTTTTCATATATTATGCATCAAAAATTACTTATGTTAATTTTTGGGTGAATCTTATGATTTTATATGCATAAAAGTAAAAGGTGTAACTCTAAACCATGTTTTAAGGGTGTTTTGGCTTATGTTTATTTCGTTTCCTGATTCTATCCCGGGGGGGGGACTTCAATAGCCATAATTTTGGGATATTGATGAAGTTGTTCATTTAGTTCAGATCAGCCAGAAAAAGACTGCTGCTGTTATTAACAAAAAAGAAAAAGAGAAATCTATCTAGGAATTCTCAACAGAAATCTGGACACAATTTACATGCAAAGATGTTTTCATATATTATGCATCAAAAATTACTTATGTTAATTTTTGGGTGAATCTTATGATTTTATATGCATAAAAGTAAAAGGTGTAACTCTAAACCATGTTTTAAGGGTGTTTTGGCTTATGTTTATTGACTCTTTTAAATGTATTGATAACAAAAAATCTAATTATACAATTATATTTGCTGAAAAGTTAATTTTAAAGTAACACCTTGTAATTGCTGTTTACTTATTTAGTTTCTTTTACTTGTGCTGTTTTTAATGTATACTTTATAACCCGTTTTCATGTTTTTATGCTATCTATTTGGATGTCCTGATTTATCTGTAAATTTGTGAAGCATTAAAAAAAAACATCCTTGTCGACTGTATTTTTGTAAATCTGTTTTATCTGAACTCTTGACTATGGACACCAATGAGTTATACCAACATCAATATCAATTTCAAACGAATAGAAACAGCATTTCTCACTTTCTCTGTTCTCTATCTTACTGGTTTTTTTTTCTTTCTTTCTTTCTTTTCTTTTTTTGTGATATTTTGTTGGTTTTCACCAACAGATGGCGCTGCAGCTTCACTGATTAATTGATCGGGCGCAGTTGCTTAAAGGGTTCTTCACCCAAAAATGAAAATTAGCCCATAAATTACTCCCCCTCAAGTCATCCTAGGTGTATATGACTTTCTTCTTTCAGACGAATCCAGTCGGAGTTATATTAAAATTGTCTTTGATCTTTCAAGCTGTTTAATGCCACTCAGCGGGTGTTGCATGCATCAGTCCAAAAGAAGTGAAATAAAAAGCGCACATCCATAAAAAAGTGTCTCTCATGGCTCCGGGGGCTGAACAAAGGCCTCCTGTAGCGAATCGATGCGTTTTTGTAAGAAAAATATCCATATTCAAAACGTAATAATCACTTTAATGTAGCTTGCGCTCGCTGTTGTACACAGAAGCAGCTCCGGGAGCATGACGTATGAGGTCAGCGCTGCGCATGCGCCGGTGAGTCTCGTGAAAACCAACGTTTGTTAACAGGAGCAAAGGAAGCAAAGTTTCTTTACTTTAACAAAGGAAAACCAGTCTCCTCTTGGATTATATCGAAATCCTCCCACATTCTTCTTTACATATCCTCGTTTTGTACTTCTAATTCGTGACCGTTGTTTTGTTTTGATCTCTCCGCTGCGCTTCCGCGTGCGTC